CCAAGCCTCAAACCACAACAGCATGTACAAGTAATTTTTTTGCATCTGGGGCCAACTTTTGCAATATTCCTCAGAAGAGCTAGATTTACCCAAGGTACAATATTGTGATCCCTGCACAGACACTCTAACACTGTGGTGTGAGCTAGATGATAGAGGAGCAATGATCCCACCAATCCCACCCCTGTCAGCATAGTATGAAAACCTGCACATATCTTGTTGAAAAAAAGAATGAACAAAACCTAGTGTCACCAGAATTTCATCCTTCTGAAATTTGCTGGTGTATAATACAATCTAGGGTTCCAGCTCAACGTCTTTCCTACAGGTAGAGCAATAAGAACCAAGTGTTTCTGTGGGGATTCTCTGCAGTCTAATATAGGTTGTGCTCATGCTGCAATGCTTCCCTCAATGGCTACAGCAACAATTTCTATTGAAGACTGAAGTGAAAGGAATTGATGTTACGATGCATAAGTGCACTCTTTTCACAAATCTTCCTCTTACCTTGTTTCTTTATTGTAAGTAGCACTTTGTTTCCTGGACTGTTAGTAATGGGACATAAGACTATTTATTGGAATCCTAAAGATTTTGGAATCAGGAAAACATGCCTCTAATGCATATTCAGAAGCCCTGAAACACTGATTTGCTCATGGTTTATTGTTTATGGTGAATCTCATGCAATCAGCAGAGTATGGCTCAGTGAGATACTTAAGTTTTTGAAGAGAAGAGAGGAACTAGTATTAGGAATACTGATGTTCAAAGTTCCCCCTTAGATCTGGAGAAGAAATGTACAGTGAGTATTAAATCATGCAGGACTTTTGAACATTCTTCTCTCCTTCCAACATGACAGCAAAAATTAGGTTGTTCTGTTCTGTGGGAGTTGTTATCACCTTCAGAGTCATGCTTAGGGCTGAAGGCACTGGAAAGCAGAAGAATAGTGGAATGTCCTCAGCAGTACCACAGAAAGAACGGAATAAATTTTCTTGAACAAAGACAAGGATCCTTCAGCTCTGAGTCACACATCATGAATTTCTGAAGTAACACATGGAAATGGAGAAGACCAAGTGTTACTCTGGGACTTGCAAAATGCTTGTTGTATCCTCTCCTAAAAGGTGAGGTTTTGAACTTAAGCTCTCATCGAGACACATTGTACAGGAAGATTGCTCTGACAAGGTTGTGCCACGTGGAAGATAGAGATCAGTGCTTTCATAATATAGGGCAAAGACTCAGCAACAGTAGTTCTGGATAAGGTCAGTGTAGCTCTTACTAAAGTTCATCCTATTTAACATGCTAAGACTTTTTAGAATCACTCACTGATCCATGACTCTGAGAGGTGTGGAAGATTAGCAAGTAGCATCTGAATGGGTTTATGTTGCTATGAGAACTCTGGAGAGGGAATTTAAAGTACCCACTAAGAAACACAAACACTGCTTTAAGGGACTGGGTTGCTGACTGATGTCACCATCCATCCAGGCTCCTGACCCATCCTGTTCAGTAACACTAACACTCCAGCCTAAGAGTGGATTTATACCCTTAGCAGTTATATTTTATCTGTGCAATGGCATTAGTTATGAGACTTACTCGGTTCCCCAGATCCTTATTTGAGCTGCTTGCCAGTTATAAAAGCAAATGGTCTAAACTTACAGTCTGCAATAAGACACTGAATAGTTTCATATGGATATGGATCACAACAGTTATTGGAGCCTTGTGTATTCTGGAGACATGCAAGCAGGTAGACTGGATGCTGACACACACCTAAGGCAGTGCTTCAGCTTTGTTAAAAGAGAGGGGAGTCCAGAGAGACCAGCTCCTTCACTGACAGAAGGAAATCAGCAGATTGCCTAAGAACTATTTCCAAAAAGGAGGAGGTGTTATGGTTTTGCAGGTGACTGAGTGTATTTTGGGACTTGAGACAGTGTCATCTGTTTACATTTTCTGTCAGAATGTCATAGAAAGTTGGCTTGTTTTTGTCCTCGTGCTGGAACCTTGCCAGGGGCTGAAACTCCTCACATCCAGAACTCTGTCCTGCTGCAGTCTTTGAGATACTGGGCTGCATGCTGAGATCTTTAGCAAGGAACTCAAGGAGTGAGTGGAGATTCTGATTTGCAGTACCACTGTGCCACTATGTGTTTAGATGTAGAGGTCTAGTTTTAACCAATTTCTATTGAAGGTATGTAAAATAGAATATATGACAGACATATTTTAGGTGGAAGGATCAGTTCTTTTATATAAGCTACTATTTCCACAGGTAAAAGGTATATAATAAGGGAGGCAGGAGGAGAACACAAACTATTAAAAGAAATGTCATGCTTGCAATGAGGTCCCTTTTACACATCACATCAACTGGTAGAGAGAGAAAGTGGAAAAATTAGAATATGTCACTGAAAAAAAAGCCTTTCTAAAGGCATCTAAAATATATTACTCAGACTGAAATTTTTTTCATGTTATTAGAGTTAACATAGTTACTTCTTGATTCGAGAATACTTTTGTAATATGAGGATGTTAAGACTTTTTACACCTCTAGGAAAAAAATGACCTTTCTGGTAGGTTTAGTGCCATCACTACCTTCTTCCTGAATCCGAAAGAACATCTACCTGCTGAATCTCTTGTGCCTTTCACAGCATTGATACGATTCATATTTGTGTAGCTTGTGAGATCTCATGGTATCACACGTTACAAATGCACTTTACTACAGTGACAGTTTTATATTTTGAGCTGAATCCTGTCTTGCAGGTAGAAAGCACCAGCTGTGTTAGTTTAAATACACTGAGAGTGGCCTAGCAGTCACTGATTTCAGCAGAACATCAATCATCAGAGTGCAACAGCACAGCAGGAAAGCTAATGCATTTTCATGCTGTTTATACAGAGCAGGAACACTGGAGACTCATAGGCTCTGAAACAGCTGAGTAGAATACTGTATTCCTGAGAAATATTAATTGATCTATTTAGGAACTACTGCAAAGAGACAGAGTACTGCATCAAGCTGCCTACCTTAGTGAGTAGGTTTCTTCTCACGTTGTTGCAGTTCTCATTTGCTGCAGCTTTGGACTGGACCACGCTGGTGATCACACGTGGAGGACCAGGTGGGTTGTCTTCTGTCTCTGATCTGCACGGCAGTTGTGTCCTAGGACAGCAGTCAAAATCCTCTTGACCCCAACTGGTAGAGATCTCAAAGGGATCAGGGCATTTCTCATCAGGACTTGACCCATCGTCACTGGTTTTGGCATTGCAAAGTATAAGTGATCTTGAAATGGAGCGAAACTTTCTTGACTTCCTGTTCCCAGCACTGCTCTTTCGATCCATCTTCAGAGAGCTGGTGGTGCTGCTCTTTTTCCTGTCGTTCTCCCATTTGTGTGGCATGATACTTTCAATAACTTTCTCTGCTTCTCCAGTGCAAAATGTCCTCCAGGAAAGGAAATATAAAAAGTAAGTTGTAATATATCCCACTTTCTCCCACTTAATAACCTACACTACTGAAAAGCCCTAATGAATAAATCGAATCAACAGAGCCTTTCAGTCTGCTAACAGCCACGTGGTATCTCATGACTTGCTAATTCTGTTTCTGTGCAGTGCTCTACTAAATTCTCCTTCACCTTTTCATTCTCTTCCCATACTCCCCGAGCACAATGGAGTGCTCTTAATAAATGTTTTTGATGCTTCCATTGTGCTCCTTCCTTTGGGCTTCTGCTGAATTTGCATGTTGAAATCCCAAATTTAAAAGGAAAATACTTTAAAAGCATTATTCTAGTCTCCTAACATTATTTGGAAAGAAGAAGCTCTTTCTGAAGTTTGACTCATGAAACCATTACAATTCAAAGAAGATTAATCAGTTTATTGAGGTTAAGTTCTCTGCCTGGCACATCAGATTTTGTAAGTGGTTTAGCAAGAGTAGATTTTAGCCATGAGAGAGTAAGGAACGTCAGGCTGCTGTAAAACTCCTCCCTACCTTTGCAGACCAGAACTCACTTAAGACCGTGCACTTAACAGTAACAGAGAGATCCAGCGAAGCACTTAAGATGTGAATATCTGATTAGGAATGTAAGTCTATGAAGGAATACAGCTCCAACACATCAATCAAAGAGTGTCCTATTACAGAAAGGGTTTGTTTTAGCATATGATTCAGCAATAATAAATTAAGAGACAATGGAAGGAACGCTATACAATCAAAATGTGACAGAAGTTGGAGCTTTTGTACAATGAGAAAAGTAATGAGCATGTTAAGATAACAAAGGGGAGCTTTGTTAAATTGTTTCCTTTCTCATGCAAAGTTTACTAGAAGAATTTTGGTATGTATGTGTCAGTGCTGAAAATTCAACAGGAGGAAGCCTACGTTAATCACTTTGTCTTTCTCAATTTTTGTTGCCATTTTTATTACACAAACTTATCTATTCTCTTCACAGTACCCACTTGATATTGTGTGTTACCATTCTACACAAAATACCTATTGAAACTAAAGGATTTGCATAAATCAAAGATGCTATAAGTTTTACACCCAAAACTAAAATCAATGTAATTTGAAAAGCACTTCTCAGGTATACTATTGAAAAAATGTGTACATCGTGCTCTAAACTCAGCTGTTGTGTTTGTTTTGTTTTGGTGTCTTTTTTCCTCCTGCTTCTGTGCAGAATTAAGTATCCACTTGTATCTGAATGTGTCCAAGTGTATCCACTTTGTACCTGAAACCTCACTGGTAATATAGAAATAGAAGGTGGCATGTTTTCTAAAGGCTCCTTGAAGCCACAACAATACAATACAGGCTTGCAAGTTCTGACCAAGCCAAATTCACATAATAAATACAAGCCAGCCTTCTAATAAAGCTGCAGAATTATTTATCTTTTTTTTTCTCCCACCATACAAATAACCAGGGAAAACAAAAGCAGATGATAAACGTTATAGCATTGACTACCCATCTAAAGGAGCTACGTACTATTGCTGGAGAAATACACAGTTTAGTGGGAATCTGAATTTGTTTGGATTTGTAAAAGAAAAAAACTAAATTTGCACATAGCTCTTTCAGGAGCAGCAAAGAAGTCACTTCATCTCCCATGGAGAAGGAAGTTTATTTCTGCAATCCTTCCTGGCATTTTTGATAGGCCGTCGCTCCTGCAGCCTCCCATCATAACTTATTTTCCATCATACTAGTCCTAACATTGCTCTGCTCCCCGATGTTTCTTTTCTCAAACAAGACCCCTAACACTTCAGAAACTCATGCCCTGAGTGTTGGAACTTTTCTGAGTGGGACACTATTCCAGAGCAAAGTTTAAGTTTGAAAGTATCCAGAGAACATGTCAAGTTCTACAAAGCTGGTGTGTTTTCTGCCCCTGCTCTGTGTGGTTTTGGGATCCTTTCTGCTCCTGTGGGAGTCTGGCCCCACTAGACAGGAACATTAGAACTGGAGTCACTGTGCTCCCAGCCTCCCACACAAGCATGAGGAAAACTTTCAGGGTCAAACTGAACTAGAGCATATTCTCTGTTCCCTTCAGTACATAGAATACTTTTTTTTCTTTTCAGAGTAGTCTCTCTTCTTATGAATAACAAGATTTGCAAACATGGCTGAAGGCAGCTATGTTGTGGAAGGAGAACTGCTCAACAGTACAGCCATGGCCCTTCCCTGTGGCACAGAGCACACTCTGAAGCAGAGGACACCTACACCTATGCTATAAGGACACAGAGGCCAGAGGGGATGTGGAAAGCTATGACATAGAGGGAGCTCACCTTTAACATGTGGACTTTGTGGTCAATATGGGGTCTTATTTCTCTAACATTAATCATCTCTATGCAGTAATTTATTTTGAAGTACAGAGTAGAAAAGTACTATGAATTATACTAGAACAATAATTTTGAGAACTGAGATAAATAGTGGTGTAATTTAGCACCACAATTTTTCAGTTTTTTGGTAACTTTTTGATTAGTTAAAAGCTGACTGACACTTATCCCTACTAATACATAAAGATTTTCAAGGTTTGGAAATTTTGTTTGTTTTTTTGTTTCTTTAAAAAGAAAAAAAAAAAAGACAAACTTTTTTTTTATTGTTTTGGTAAGACTAAAGTTTAGTCTAGTATAATATGTATGTATCTAATTGCAAATTTTGAGATGGTAAATCCCTGTTAGCATCCCTAGTGTATTGGGAAATTAATCTTGTGAAGCTTGATGTTGCTTTTCCTGTATAGCTGAAGGTAGGTAAAAATGCCAATCTGGCCCATTAGACCAGACTGTGGAGCTGCAAATGCAATAGGATGGCTAGGATGAGGGGAACTCCTGCAAGTACTGCACCTCAGCACCTAGGTAAAAAGCAGCAGGGAATGCACATCACTTGAAAGTCTGCAATAAGGATTGATTTTCCTTCTCTGATTCTGGAAATTGCTACTAGACACTAGCAATAAGAATGTCAGAAGTGAGCCCAAGTTGCACTTTCAGACTCGAAAAATCTTGCCTATTTTGGAAAGCTAGAAGAAACAGCACTTTCATTCAAGGATTTCGATGTTGCACAAACATTAAATATACTTTTACTTCCCCAAAGAGAAAAACTTTTAAAAGACCTATTAAAAGCACACAGGTAATCAGAGGACTTGATAGCTTAACGGTCAAAATACAGTTCTCTGGAGACTGGCATGCTAGAATGAAGGCTGGAGAGATGTAGATGCCTTTTCTTGCTCTCCCTGAAGTTGCAGATCTTAAGAAAGGAGCACTGCCATCAGTACTAAATGTTCCAAGAGGTGCCTCCCTGCCGATGCTAAGCACCAGGGATGCAGGGAACACATAAAAGCACCTGTTGAAACAGTGAAGGACACACTGCTCTAAGTGCATTCTGCTATCCCACTCTTCTGCAATGCTCCTGAGGAATTTTACCTTAGGCAGAGAGAACACCTCTTTTGCACTGCTGCATCAGCTGTTTCCACCTCCCTCACGTCTATCAGGGCTCAAAGACCGAGTTTAACTCTGAGTGACTTACCTAATATCTCAAAGCAAACCAGTGGCTGAGCTGAAAATGAACCCAGTAAACCTGAAGGCTTCCAGTTAAATACTTGCTCTAAGTATTAGATCACAGCCCAAGTGTTAACTAAGGCAATATCCTTTCCAGAGCTGCTGATTCAGGGCTGCCTAAGTGACAGAAGTATAGGAGGTACCAAAAACACAGTCTAAAAGTTTTCCAATAAAAATATCCAGAAATGTTATCTTACACAGAAAACAATATCACATGTGCCAGAGAAGCTTTATGATTCACCACTATCTTCCACCAAATTTAATTCAAGGTATTGGTAGCATGGACAATTACTTCAAAGTCAATTCGCCAAGCCATTCATCTTCTCCCGCAGCGCACTCATTGCTTGTCATTTTCTCTTGCCATTCTTATACCTTCAGCATGCCTGATGGAAGTTGTCTGTGGTTTGTAATGCAAACCAAATGTTCCTTCTCTTTCTCTTTTTTTTCTTCCCTCAAGCTTTATTTTTCCAGCTTTAAGTTTAAAAAGCCCTAACTCAATCTGTCTTCTGCAAAAGAAAATACATTACTTGAACTATGACCATTTGGTTCAAATTTTTGGTTGGCTATTAAACCGAGCATTTACAAGATGCAAATAATTTGGTGTAGCTCCCAGACTGAATGTGAAAGCTCTGCTGTTAACCAGACAGTAGGAAAGATAGAACCTTTCGTTGCTAGCAAGAACAAGATGAGTTTTACATTACCAAGTGCTAACAGCGTGATATCTTGCATCCTATTTTAATCTAGCTCTTGTGATCTTTGTCAGATTCATTACTGAGCAGTACTATTGGCACTGAACTATTGCAGATGCCTACGATTTCCAGGCAGCAGGAAGAGCTAGAAATTTGGAAGTTTCTAATAAAGACTAAGAAGCTCTTGGAGAGCTGAATTTAGCTTTAAAAATCTTAAAAAAATAAAAAATACTTAATCATAAAACAAAAATTCAAAAGGAGGAACTTACAACAGCGAGGCAGACAAACCTGACTCCTGCAGAAGGCTGCTCCTCTTCATAGGCCTGGCAAAAAAAGACAGAGTGAATAATTGAAAACACACTCTCGTGGTGTCACATGACTCAGTTTCAGTAATTCTGCTCAGTACATTGGAACGGAGCTATTGTTTCCTAATTGAAGAAAATGTCAGCAAGGATAGATAAACAAAAGCAATGGGATGCAGTATTGGGGAAACTGTTTCCAGCAGGCTCCCAGCTACCCAGAGAAGGCAAAGCCATTTAAGGAGTTTGTGTCATTTGATTTTTACCCATTGCTCTCAGGTCCTAGGATTGATGGGGTTCAGGCATATTAAACCTACTTGGGAGGAGGCGGG